AAATTCTCACTAATTTCCCCCATGGTTAACACACAGACAAAAATCTGTCTTAGCTCATTATGACGTTTGACTGCATATCTTGAATTACATTAAAGTTTCAATAGTTATAATTCATTTCTGAAGGAATTTTAAGTGGCAACAGAAAAAGAAAGGATTAAGGGAGTTGTATTATTGGCTATAAGAACTATATGGACTTAACTAACAATGGCTAATCATTACAAGGAACACAAGAGGCAGGCAAAAAGTTCTTGTGCTTTCTGCCCTCATTTCAAAGGGGAAAGATAATGAGGAGAAGAGACTGGAGCATCATTTGCCCAACTGCTTGGTCCTTCATGTGGGGCATGTCTCCTTTGCATCATTATCCAAAACTAGCTTTTCAGCCAAAATATGTTTACTGGATGTCAGGTTTAGTGGAAACGTGGCCAGTGGAATTCATGTGAGAGGAGAACATCACACATGTGGCCCGGGTCTAGGATTCAGTCATTCATTCTTTAAATATTTATTGAGGACCAACTGGGTGCTGGGCCCCATTCTAAGCATATCAGTGAGCTAAAGAGATAAAAACTCTTGCCCTTTTGGAACTTGTCCTTCTGTAGGAGAAGACAATAATAACATAAGAAATCCATTTTATAGTACATTTGGAAGTAATCAGTGCAACGAAGTGAAATAAGGCAGAGAATGGGACAGCTTGGGTGGGAGTGGATGTTAACATTTTTAAATGGGTAGTTAGGAAAGGTTTCCCTGATCAGATGACTCTTGAGCCAAACTTGAAGGAGGTGAAGAAATGAGCCATGCAGATGCCTGGGGCAAGCACCAATAGGGGTCTAGGCGTGTCTGGTCCATTGGAAAATTGGCTCTATGAAAGTATTTGTGAAGAGGGTCCAAGATATGTGAGACAGAACAGATCCTGACAGAGAACAGAAAGCTGTATGCATGAGAAGCTTGACCCAAGAACCACTGAAGATGAGAAGAAGAAAGATCCTACATGGCAGTTCATGCTTAAACTTGGTTCTGAATATGTCTAGAAAGAATTTTGCTGCCCAAGTACCACTGAGTTAACACGGAGTGTATCACAACAGGGGACGACCTGTTTCCCTTCCTCCACAGACCTTGCAGCAGAAAGGACTATGCCCCTTAGGGTGCAGGGTGAGAAGCAGCAGTCACCACTATGGTATGATATCCCCCTCAGGGAACTTGGCCCCTAGCAGTGGGCTCTTGAATTGCGGATGCTCGTGGGGCTTGTTCTATCTTGTGGGATAAAGAACAACACCAGTGAAAAGTACTTTCTGCATCAAGAAAGCTAGAGGAGCTAAATGGTCAGGATGGCAAGAATTCTAAGTTAGAGACAGAATATGGCAAAGTGTGGTAGGCATACAAGTAATGGAGTACAAAAGAAAGAGATCCCTTGGGAACTTCTAGGTGTGTGTGTGTGTGTGTGTGTGTGTGTGCGCGCGCGCGCGCGCATGCACGTGCCCGTGCATGTGCATGTGCGTGTGTGTGTGTGTGTGTGTACGTGCACACACACACTTTATAGGAGATCTAGGTCTGTGAGAGTAACTTATGTATGAAATTTATTTTTTCCAAGTTGTTATTTAAATTCTAACTAGTTAACATACAGTGTAATATTAGTTTCAGGTGTAGAATTCAGTGATTCATCATTTACACACAACACCCAGTGCTCATCACAAAAAGTGCCCTCCTTAATGCCCATCATGTATTTAGCCCATCCCTCCACCCACCTCCCTTCCGGTAACTATCAGCTTATTCTCTATAATTAAGAGTCTGTTTATTGATTTGCTTCTCCTTTTTTCCCCTATATTCATTTGTTCTGTTTCTTAAATTCCACATAGTAGTGAAATCATATGGTATTTGTCTTTCTCAGACTGACTTCATTTAGCATAATACTCTCTAGCTGCAACCACGTTGCAAATGGCAAGATTTTATTCATTTTGCTGGCTGAGTAATATTCCATTACCATATATTCCATACCTATCTCACATCGTCTTTATCCATTCATCAGTTCATGGACATTTGGGCTCTTTCCATAATTTAGCTATTGTTGACTGAAATTTATTTTAACATAATTTGTCCACACAGGCAAACCTATAAATTACTGAATATTAGTATTGAACCAAAGTTTTGCCATAAATAGTTTCTCATTAATTTTTTTTTCCTTCTTTAGGTCAATTATGCCAAAGATCAACAGTCAAAGCCAGTACTAATCTCTAGCAAGGAAGTGTGACTAGCACCACAAGTCTGTAATTTGGCAAACTCACCTAGAAAAAACTGAATGTAAATGACCACAACTCTTCTGTTATTTTTACCTGGTCATTTCAAGGCCAAACCAGCAAGAGAGATTTAGATAAGATACAAAGGATTTTATTATTCACACCTTAGGGAGCAGTATAAACATCAGCATATTTGGTGCCCTAAACCTTCCATTCTTACTGTGCGACCCTAAGGGATCCAGGTGATGCCCACATGTATAGCTAAGTTGTATTATAGGATAGAAATACTGCACTTAGAAAATCTGAAAGTTGTATACTGAGAAACCAGCTTGCTGACCCATTACTTGGGACGGGGATATCGTCTCTATCTTCCATGAGTGTTCACTACACAAATATCCTGGTGCAGATAATCAGGAACAAAAGAAGTCAGTGCTTCTGCTTGCAAGATAGGCAGAAAATGAGAGACCCACAGAGAATTGTTTCCCAACAACATTAGCACCGGTTTCATGGAAATAAGCCAAAAACTGGAAAACAAACCTAACACCTTCTCTTTTTTGAGTCTACATCATTCCTGAAAGAAACCCTGTCACTACTAATACATTCTCAAATTGCCATGACCTTCAGATTGCTAGCCATACCTTCTGGGGCAGTGTGGCCTTTTCTTTTGTGCTATTGAGGGACAGCCCCTGTGGGCATGTAACCAGTGCTCTTCAGGCATGTTAGGTGAGTATCTTGTAGAGACTGGTCTCTCTCTCATTATTTCCTTGATACATGCTGTTTCATGTTCTGCAGAACCTATGGCATTTGGTCCTCAATAGGCAGATCTAGCTATCTGGTTACATAGCATCGTGGGATGGAGTCTGAGATGGAGAAGAGATTGTTGGAAGGGAAGCATGACACAATGGCCAAATCATAAACCATAACTCCATTAAGTCCTATTTTCGTATTGAATAGGCAATGAAATTGTATTACCTGTCTCTTACAGTGGGAAGAAAAATCAATATGGGCTGTTTCTTCATGTGATGAATGTTCTTCTCCATCGTCCCTGCTGTCGCCCCCCGCAACATTTAACATTAGCATGATAAGAAACATTGCAAAGTGTGGGATGGGCCTGTGTCTTCAGAAGGTGATTTCTCATATCAGTCAGTGAGTATAGTTTTTAAAACAGCATTTGTCATTATGGCTAAAAATGTTTGTAATCAGGAGGGAGTAAAGCAACATTAAATTATTGAACAAAGATTTCTTCTACCTCCCTGTAGGATATCTAGAAATAGCAGTCAAGTGTGTATAATATAATAGAAAAAGTGCTAGAACTGGAATTGACTTCAGCTCCGCATGGATTAGTTATGCGGTCTTGATGAAATTTAACATCTCTGACTTTCAGATGTTGATATTTTGAATGGGGAGGATAATCTTTATTCCGTTCTCCTCATAGGTTCATAATAATTATTAAAATGAACAATGTACTATAAGCATATGAAGATGCTTCAGTAATCAAGTCTGATGTAATTGTGAAATGGTATTCCAATTATGGCAATATTTAAAGCAAAGTAGAATCTGTTCATAATATAGACATTGAAGAATGAGATCAGTATTCCTGCGAGTTTCATTTTTTTGCAACATAGGGAAAATAGTATGATTGATAACAAGATCAAATCCATGTAAGAATGAATGACATTCTAGAATATGTTAGGGTAATCTAAGTAACACGTTTCCAACATTGTTCTCATTTTTCACTATCATTTTTCTTAGTTGTTCAATCGCCATGTATAACCAAGTGGTGACCAAACTGCTTATTCAAATTTCCTGGAGTCCTCTACCTTTTTCATCTCAAACTTCTGTGATAACATCACCCTTAATTTATGATTCTAGTCATAATGCTGGTGTCTTCTCTTTTTGACAACTGAGAAATTTAATAGGAATCAACAAATAAACTGGGGGTGAGTAGTAGAGAAAAGGGCTTTGTCTCTACATGTGACTAGAGCAATTCAAGCAAATCATGACCTACAAAGCAACCTACAATATCTGCTTTTGTTTTAATAAAACATGGATCCACAGTGATTCCATGGAAATAAGCCACCAACAGTGGGAATCAATGCGCACAAGTACTAGCTTTTTTTTTTTAAACTAATTCACTCACCACTAACTTATGTAAGTTCTCATCTTGAAACTGATGATGGCTGACACAGAAATATTTCTAGGATCAAAACTGAAAGCAGGTAGATGCTGTGGTTGTGATACTAAGAATATCAAGTCTGCCTGAACTGAATACATGTTGAGGTTGCTGAGATTTGGTTCATTGAACAACTGGGTGACAGACATATAGTTCAGATATGACTGCGCACTTGGAATTTCTTTCAGCAACTTAATAGATGCTGTGTGTGTGTGTGTGTGTGTGTGTGTGCGCGTGTGCGTGTGTGCGTGTGTGTGTTTGCAAGACTACTACCCAGCAGTTTAAAACCCAGTTAGTTTAAGAGTCAGGTGTTAGTTCTTTTCTTGGATATCGGGAACCAGCGGTCTCGCTGGAGTGGTATCAGCTGCATTGGAGGGAAAAACAGAGAGTGACAAGAAAGGTAAAAGGAAGCTGAGTGAAGAAGCTTGGTTGAGTCCCATTTCTTGGATAAACTTAGGTCAGTCAAGCATTCCAGAGTATCTGCTTGCTAATACTCAACTTGGGCAGGTCTGAGTCACCCTTTTGGATATTATATAATGCCTAGACTAAGTATTCTTTTTTTAAAATAGATTTTTAAAGTTTTAATACAGTGAAATCAGTGCTAGGGTCATTTTAGCTCCTTTATTGCCAACCTGGGGGGCAGAGGCTGCTTCAGTTTCACTGCCCTTTCTTTGGCTGTGATGACCAAGATATCAAAGTATCTGCTGCATCGAACTTTAGACTTCACATTATCCTTATTTTCCTTGACCTTGACAGTGTTGGCATCACTTCTTCTGGCTTTGAGCAGAAGGTCCTTGATTTCGTCAGTTTTGTGAGGCATGGCTATGGGGAGCACAGGAGAGCATGTGCCTGGCGCAGTGAGCTGCAAGGCTGGGGTAGACAAAGTATTCTTGAGATCACCAACTTTCCTGAGCAATGGAAGATCATGGTGGAATATGTGAATGGTTTAAGTTGGTAGCTCTCAAATTTTAGCATGTGACAGAATCATCTAGTGAACCTTTAAAACAGATTGCTTGGCCCTATTCCCAGAGTTTCTGTTCAGCAGGTCAGGGGCGGAGCCTGAGAATTTACATTTTTAACAGGTTCCCAGGTAATATAGATACCACCGGCTAGAGGACCACATTTTGTGACCCATCAGAACGGCCCTGTTTCCATGCATGTATGTTATAATAATCCTATCAAACTACATATTCAAATCACTATGAGTAAGCTCCATTCCAACCTCCAACCCCTGCCACCCTCAAATAATAAATGGGTGTGGAGTTAAGTATAGCTTTTGAAAGTGACCAGTGGAGAGTCATGGAAATGAAGTCCATGCTCAGAGGGAATGCTGTTTTTAGTTGAGAACCTAGCTGGCTTATTTTGGAATGAGCTGAATTCTAGTGTTCGTGGTAGAGACTATGAAAACCAAGGTCCTTTGATGACAAAAATGATGACAGCCTAACCCCCCACCCAGATGATTATCTTCACTTTTAGGTATACCATGTGGAATTGAGTGGACTCAGAGAAGAAATTAAGAAGGATCCTGCAGGACAAAGTGGAAAGCCCAGACACCAGGCAGGCATGTATCCCCTCTCACTCTGCAATAGACTCCAGAACTTTTCATTCAATCATTTATTTACTCATGCAATCATACATCAAGGGCTGGTTGAGTGCCTACTACATTCCAGGAATGGATCTAGATGCAGGGATCACAACTGGTAACAAGGTAGACATAGTTTCTGCTTTTGTGGGGCTTACCTCTTAGTGTGGGTGGGGGGAGATGGAGAGAGGAAGAGAGAGCGAGAGAATGAGCATGGATTGAGATTGAGGGAGGGAAGAGGGAACAGAGACAGAACATGAGCAAATAAATAATCCAGAAAAATATCACATAGCATAAATAACGTGCAGAGAAATAAAACAGTGATTTGATATCAAGAGACAGGTTACAGAGTGGCTATTTTGGATTGGATGTTTGGGCAGGTCACTCTGGGTGACATTTAAGCTGTGATCTGAATGACAAGAAGGAGCCAACCCTGTGAAAGGTCAAGGGCAAAGAGTCTTTCAAGCAGTGCAGTGCTAGTGAAGTTAGTGTAAAAACCTCAAGGTGGGAGTGAGCTTGGTAAATTTAAGGAGTGAAAGATCACTGCAGCTGGATCTTCTTGGGACATAGCGTGAGTGATGCCAAATGAAAGTGAAGGACAGGGAGGGGCTACTCTAAAGTCATTGATGGGATTTGATCATAGGTGTGATAGAAAAAAAAAAAAAAAACTTTGGCTAGTTGTGATCTGATGTGATTGGTATTTTAAGGCTGCAGTGGACACAACATCCTACAGAGCAGGGGACCAAGTGGAAACAGGGGAATGGTTGGGAATCTATGTCCATAGTCCAGGAGACAGATGATGGTGGTACTGACTAGGTGCTGTGAGTTGGAAAATAATCAGATTCTGAAGAAATTTGGTTGATGAAGCATTACTGATAGAACATGTGTGGGGAATGTTCACTAGGGAAACAGAGGCACTAAGAGTTACCTCAAAGGTCCTTGCTATTCAATAATGTGATTTGAGGACCAGCAGCATCACATCATTTGTAACTTATTATAAATGCAGAATCATATGTTATAACAGAGACCTACAGAATTAGAAGATCTCCGGGTGATTCATATACATATTAAAGTTTGAGAATTGTTTCAATGTCCAGGGAGAATAGTGCTACTTACCAAGATGGAGGTTTCTAGGGCAGGAGTCAATTGGAAGGGGAAAGAAGGAACCACACTTTCTCTTTTATGTGTGTGAGTTTTGAAAGATTTATTTGGCATATAAGTGAAGACCTCAAGAAACAGTTGATTATATAAGCTTGGATTTCTGGGAACTGATCAGGGCTAGAAATAAAGATGTGGGATTCGTTAGCACTTGGGTGGTGCTCACTATCCAATAAGCGAATGGGCGAGCTCACCGGTGAGAGCGTGTAGATGGAGGAGAGGGCCAGGAAGGAGCTGACCACTACAAAGTTTAGAACCCTACATTTTTTTTAAGAGGAAGAGACAGAAAAGGAGACTGAACAGAGTAAAGCCATGAGAGTATGGTGTCATGGAAGCCAAGAGAAAAAAGCGTTTCAAGGAAAGGCAGTCAACTGTGCCAAATAATGCTGAGAGGTTGAGGGAGAGAACACAGAGAACATGGAGGTCAGTGGGGACTTTGGCCAAAGCAGGATCAGCATGGTAGGAATGGATGCCTTTGGGATACACAGAGGAGAGAAGTTGAGGTAGGTGAGTAGAGACAGTGCTTATGAATGGTGTTTTCAAGCTTCTGGGAGATAATACAGTTGTGTTTATTTCACTTGTGCTCAGAAACCAATAATCACTCTTTGTTTCTCTTTCTACCATAGCAGAACTCCTAACTCTGTCCTTCTAGATGTTTGGAGTACAAGTACACAACATCTTAGCTACCGCCTTCAGGAAACTCCTGATCTAGTGAGAGAGATGCACACGAATAGTAGTACAACGCTCTGAGAACTCTGTATTAGAATTGCTGGGATTTATGGGGCTGGGAAGAGAGTTCATATTTTTGCTTGTATCGTGCTAGACACATTGCATGTGTTATTTGATTTAATCCTCACTACATCCCTTTGAGGTTTTCCCACTTTTATCCATGGGGAAGTGGGAGCTCGAAGAGGTTCAAGACTTGGCTTTTGTGTCAGAACTAGTTAATGGCAAAGCTAAAATTTGAATGGTGATCAAATTTGAAAATTTGGTCAGTTCTGCTGATCCCAGTGCTATATTCTTTGCAACATCATGTTGTTTTGCATGGTGGGGGAGGGAGCAAATAAAAATTATGCTTAGCAAACTGTGAGTCATCCTTCACACATTGCAGTACAAGGACTCCTTACTACAGCAGAGATGCACATTGTACAGTGTTTAGGGATAAATTTCCAAATGGTGAAAATTTCCCCCAAATCCCATTATATCACTCACATGTCCCTGGGGAATATTCACACTATGAGAGCCACTTGGGTATTGAGATCAGAGGAAGACATGTCAGAATTGTGTCTCCCTTTTCACTCAGAGAAACACAATTATTGAAGGAACTCATCTATAATACTATTATTATTGGCTATGTACCTATGGTTTTATTACTGTAAGTTAAATATATATATGTCAGTTATACCTCAATAAAAAAAATTGAAAATACATGGGGCACCTGGGTGGCTCAGTTGGTTAAGTGTCTAACTCTCGGTTTTGGCTCAGGTCACAATCTCACGGTCCTGAAATGGAGTACACTCGTTGGGCTACACTCGGGGGTGGAGCCTGCTTGAGATTCTCTGTTTCTCTCCCTCTGCCCCTCCCCACTTCATAAAAAGTTTTTTAAAAAATAAAAAAAATTAGATAACATGCAATCTAATAAGAGTTCATTAACATTAACTGAAAACTCACTATATATAGTCAGTGTACTAGGAATATTACATGCACAGTCTTTTTTAAAAAACGTTTACTTATTTATTTTGAGGGAGGGGAGGGCAAAGAGAGAGGGGGAGAGAGAATCCGAAGCAGGCTCTGTACTGTCAGAGCAGAGTCCCACGTAGGGCTTGAACTCATGAACCATGAGATCATGACCTGAGTCAAAATCAAGAGTCGGATGCTTAACTAAGTGAGCCACTCAGGCACACTTATGTGCACAATCTCATTCAAATTTTAATTGACATACTAACCTGTGAGGTAGGTATTTTTATTCTACCTGAAGGAAAGGCTAACTTTCCTAAGGCCATAGAGCTAGTTGCTTTCCCAGCCCCAAAGAACTCCTATGTAAGTATGCCTTCCACTCTGCACACGGTCTTCCTGGCTGGCCATCTTCTGTGGGAGCCAAGCAGATCCTCACTGTTATTTAACTCACAGGTTAGGGCTTCCTAACCATGTGGCTTGCCCAGTTCTTGCTAGCAGTAGATTTTCCCTTTATCTGCATCTCGAACATTCACCCCTTTCTTTACTAAGGCTAAGACTCGCTTTGCTTCTTCAGTCCCCACTGGAGCTTATTACTATCCATGGATCAGTTAGGGAGTTTGCATGACTGAGTCTGTGAGTAGGAAACAAACTTCTTCTGAAGTCAGAAAGTATTAAAGACCGCATGATCTGATTTAACATAAATATAACAAACACATTCCTGTCTAAATAAAAATTAGTTATTTGCCTTCAAAGTTTTCAGAGCAATAGTTTTATAAGTTTAATTTTTTTAATGTTTATTTATTTTAGAGAGAGAGAGAGCAAGTGCAAATGGGGGAGGGCCAGAGAGAGAGGGAGACATAGAATCTGAGGCAGGCTCCAGGCTCTGAGCTGTCACTACAGAGCCTGACATGGGAGTCAAACTCATGAACCGTAAGCTCATGACCTGAACTGAAGTTGGACACTTAACCGACTGAGCCACCCAGGCATCCCAATTGTTTTAAATATTTAGTTGTTTGCAAGTACCCTCTGAAAGGCTCAATCAAAATACTGCTTAGCTGAATTCAGATATAATTTGATATTTGTATTAACATAAGCCCCAAGATTCTGTATAACTTCTGTTTTTCCAATCCTCTCCAGTGGCTCTCTTTGGACAGTGCCTTATTTCTGCAGCTAGCTAGTGGGCATTTATACTGGTGCTTACTTGGATAATGCAAACCTGAATTTCAGGGTTTTACCTAAGGTTTTGTTCCCCAACCCTCTTTGACTCTAGCTTTGGTTTTGAATGCCAATGTTCTGTTTTTGGAAATGCCCTGGGCATTGTGAGGGACCATTGTCTCCCAAGTTTCTTTCTTGGTGGAAAAGAGTATGTGATGTGATTTAATTCACTTATTTCAAGATCAAAG